TCATTCAGTAATCAGAGCCAATCACCAGGGATCATCCGGTTATCAGAGCCAATCACCAGGGATCATTCAGTTATCAGAGCCAATCACCAGGGATCATTCAGTTATCAGAGCCAATCACCAGGGATCATTCAGTTATCAGAGCCAATCACCAGGGATCATCCCCGGTTATCAGAGCCAATCACCAGGGATCATTCAGTTATCAGAACCAATCACCAGGGATCATCCGGTTATCAGAGCCAATCACCAGGGATCATCCGGTTATCAGAGCCAATCACCAGAGATCATCCGGTTATCAGAGCCAATCACCAGAGATCATCCGGTTATCAGAGCCAATCACCAGGGATCATCCGGTTATCAGAGCCAATCACCAGAGATCATCCGGTTATCAGAGCCAATCACCAGAGATCATCCGGTTATCAGAGCCAATCACCAGAGATCATCCGGTTATCAGAGCCAATCACCAGGGATCATCCGATTATCAGAGCCAATCACCAGGGATCATCCGATTATCAGAGCCAATCACCAGAGATCATCCGGTTATCAGAGCCAATCACCAGGGATCATCCGATTATCAGAGCCAATCACCAGAGATCATCCGATTATCAGAGCCAATCACCTCAGATCATCCGGTTATCAGAGCCAATCACCAGGGATCATCCGGTTATCAGAGCCAATCACCAGGGATCATCCGGTTATCAGAGCCAATCACCAGGGATCATCCGGTTATAAGAGCCAATCACCAGGGATCATCCGGTTATCAGAGCCAATCACCAGGAATCATCCGGTTATCAGAGCCAATCACCAGGGATCATTCGGTTATCAGAGCCAATCACCAGGAATCATCCGGTTATCAGAGCCAATCACCAGGGATCATTCAGTTATCAGAACCAATCACCAGAGATCATTCAGTTATCAAACCCAATCACCAGAGATCATCCGGTTATCAGAGCCAATCACCAGGGATCATCCGGATATCAGAGCCAATCACCAGGGATCATCCGGTTATCAGAGCCAATCACCAGGGATCATTCGGTTATCAGAGCCAATCACCAGGGATCATTCGGTTATCAGAGCCAATCACCAGGGATCATTCGGTTTATCGGAGCCAATCACCAGGGATCATTCAGTTATCAGAGCCAATCACCAGGGATCATCCGGTTATCAGAGCCAATCACCAGGGATCATTCAGTTATCAGAGCCAATCACCAGGGATCATTCAGTTATCAGAGCCAATCACCAGGGATCATTCAGTTATCAGAGCCAATCACCAGGGATCATTCAGTTATCAGAACCAATCACCAGGGATCATCTGGTTATCAGAGCCAATCACCAGAATCATCCGGTTATCAGAGCCAATCACCAGGAATCATCCGGTTATCAGAGCCAATCACCAGGGATCATTCCGGTTATCAGAGCCAATCACCAGGGATCATCCACTTATCAGAGCCAATCACCAGGTATCAGCTCTGACAAATGGCGCTTGCCTGAACCAAATACCCCGGATACCTACATGTCACAATTGGGGCTGTTTCATGGCCACCTTCACATGCACACTTACCTCATTATGCTGTTGCTGTAGATAATCTATATTCTAATTTTTTGTGAAAAAATGTCTTTAGCTTTTTCCCAGAATTCCCCGCAGGCAGTTCTCCGAATCTTCCAGGTTGAAGCCCGGTGTTGTATTTGCGGCGTTTGTTCACTTAGACTGAGAGACAAGGTTCAGCTGTTCATAGCGAGAGGAAAGGTGAATCAACAAAGAGCAAACTAAACATGTACGCCCGGGGTAGGTAACCGTCCAATCAATGACCCCCGGACACCCCGGATAATGTAGGAGAAAGTACAACAGCCAAAGCTCCTCCGGTGTGGATCACAGGAGTGCTCCTCTGTGACCCCTTTTCAAGCTGACAGCAGGCTAAAGCCCAGGCTGGGAAAGATCCCGACTTCAAAGAGGGGACCGGGTAGAGCGGAATATAGTGAACGCGGGGTCCGGGGGAGAGCGGATACAGGACATGCGGGTCCGGGGGAGAGCGGATATAGTGAATGCGGGGTCCCGGGGAGAGAGCGGATATAGTGAATGCGCGGGTCCGGGGGGAGCGGATTATATAGTGAACTGCGGGGTCCGGGGAGAGCGGATACAGGGAATGCGGGGTCCGGGTAGAGAGCGGATACAGTGAAATGCGGGGTCCGGGGAGAGCGGATACAGGAATTGCGGGGTCCGGGGAGAGCGATATAGGGAATGAGGGGTTCCGGGGAGAGCGGATATATAGTGAATGCGGGGTCCGGGGAGAGCGGATAATAGTGAATGCGGGGTCCGGGAGAGCGGATATAGTGAATGCGGGGTCCGGGGAAGATGCAGATATTAGTGAACGCCGGGGTCCTCGGGGAGAGCGGATATAGTGAATGCGGGGTCCGGGGAGAGCGGATATAGTTGAAATGCGGGGTCCGGGGAGAGCGGATATAGAGATGAATGCGGGTCCGGGGCGAGCGGGATATAGTGAATGCGGGGTCCGGGGAGTAGCGGATATAGTGAATGCGGGGTCCGGGGAGAGCGATATAGTGAATGCGGGCTCCGGGGAGAGAGCGGATATAGGGAATGAGGGGTCCGGGGAGGAGGGATATAGTGAATGGGGTCCGGGGGAGAGCGGATATAGTGAATGCGGGGTCCGGGGGAGAGCGGTATATAGGGAATGCGTGGGGGTCCGGGGAGAGCTACATATATGTGGAATGCCGGGTACCGGGGAGAGCAGGATATATGTGGAACGCCGGGGTACCGGGAGAGCGGATATAGTTTTGAACGCCCGCCGGGGTAACGGGGGAGAGCGGATATAGTGAATGCGGGGTCCGGGGAGAGCGGAAGTATAGAGTGGAATCGCGGGGTCCGGGGAGAGAGCGGATTATAGTGATGCGGGGTCCGGGGGGAGAGCGGATATAGTGAACGCGGGGTCCGGGGAGAGCGGATATATAAGGGAATGCGGGGTCCAGGGAGAGCGGATATAGGGAATGAGGGGTTTCGGGGAGAGCGGATATAGGGAATGAGGGGTCCGGGAGAGCAGATATAGTGAATGCGGGGTCCGGGAGAGCGGATATAGTGAATGCGGGGCCGGGGAGAGCGGATATAGTGAATGCGGGTCCATGGGAGAGCGAGATATAGTGAATGCGGGGTCCGGAGAAAGGGATATAAGTGAATGCGGGTCCGGGGAGAGGGGATGTAGTGAATGCGGGGTCCGGGGAGAGGGGATGTAGTGAATGCGGGGTCCGGGAGAGCGGAATGTAGTGAATGCGGGGTCCGGGAGAGGGGATGTAGGGAATGCGGGGTCCGGAGGAGAGGGAGATGTAGCGGATTTAGTGAAGCGGGGGTCCGGGGAGAGCGGATACAGTGAATGCGGGGTCCAGGGAGAGGGATAATAGTGAATGCGGGGTCCGGGGAGAGGGGATAATGTAGAGTGATGTACGGAATGCGGGGTCCGGGGAGAGGGGATGTATAAGTGAAATGCGGGGTCCGGGGAGAGCGGATATATATAGTGAATGCGGGGTCCCGGGGAGAGGGGATATAGTGAATGCGGGGTCCGGGGAGAGGGATGGTAGTGAATGCGGGGTCCGGGGAGAGGGGATGTAAGTGAATGCGGGGTCCGGGGAGAGCGATATAGTAAAAGCGGGGTCCGGGGAGAGCGATATAGTGAATGCGGGGTCCGGGAGAGGGGATGTAGTGAATGCGGGGTCCGGGGAGAGGGGATGTAGTGAATGCGGGGTCCGCGGGGAGAGGGATATAGTGAATGCGGGGACCGGGGAGAGCGATCCGGGGAGAGCGATATAGCGTGAATGGGGTCCCGGTGGAGATGCGGATATAGTGAATGCGGGGTCCGGGGAGAGGGATGGTAAGTGAAATGCGGGTCCGGGGAGAGCGGATATAGTGAATGCGGGGTCCGGTGAGAGGGTCGGGGATATAGTGAATGCGGGGTCCGGGGAGAGCGGATATAGTGAATGCGGGGTCCGGGAGAGCGGATATAGTGAATGCGGGGTCCGGGGAGAGGGGATATAGTGAATGCGGGGGTCCGGGGAGAGGGATATCTGTAGTGAATGGGGGTCCGGGGAGAGGGGAATGTAGGGAATGCGGGGGGTCCGGGAGAGGGGATGTAGTGAATGCGGGGTCCGGGGAGAGCGGATACAGTGAATGCGGGGTCCAGGTGGGAGAGCGGATAATAGTGAATGCGGGTCCGGGAAGAGCGGATACAGGGAATGCGGGTCCGGGGAGAGCGGATATAGGGAATGAGGGGTCCGGGGAGAGCGGATATAGTGAATGCGGGGTCCGGGGAGAGCGATATAGTGAATGCGGGGGTCCGGGGAGAGCGGATAATAGTGAATGCGGGGTCCGGGGGAGAGCAGGATATAGTGAACGCCGGGGTCCGGGGAGAGGGGATGTAGTGAATGCGGGGTCCGGGGAGAGCGGATATAGTGAATGCGGGGTCCGGGGAGAGCGGATATAGTGAATGGCGGGGTCCGGGGAGAGCGATATAGTGGAATGCGGGGTCCGGGGAGAGCGGATATAGTGAATGCGGGCTCCGGGAGAGAGCGGATATAGGGAATGAGGGTCCGGGGAGAGGGATATAGTGAATGCGGGGTCCCAGGGGAGAGCGGATATAGGGAAATGCGGGGTCCAGGGAGAGCGGATATAGGGAATGAGGGGTCCGGGGAGAGCGGATATAGGGAATGAGGGGGGTCCGGGGAGAGCAGATATTAGTGAATGCGGGGTCCGGGGAGAGGGATAAAGTGAATGCGGGGTCCGGGGAGAGCAGATATAGTGAATGCGGGGTCCGGGGAGAGCGGATATAGTGAATGCGGGGGTCCGGGAGAGCGGATATAGTGAATGCGGGTCCCGGGGAGAGCGGATATAGTGAATGCGGGGTCCGGAGAAAGGGGATATAGTGAATGCGGGTCCGGGGAGAGGGGATGTAGTGAATGCGGGGTCCGGGGAGAGGGGGATGTAGTGAATGGGGGGTCCGGGGAGAGGGGGATAGTAGGAATGCGGGGTCCGGGGAGAGGGGATGTAGTGAATGCGGGGGTTCCGGGGAGAGCGGATACAGTGAATGCGGGGTCCAAGGGAGAGCGGATATAGTGAATGCGGGGTCCGGGAGAGGGGAATGTAGTGAATGCGGGTCCGGGGAGAGGGGATGTAGTGAATGCGGGGTCCGGGGAGAGCGGATATAGTGAATGCGGGGTCCGGGGAGAGGGGATGTAGTGAATGCGGGGTCCGGGGAGAGGGGATGTAGTGAATGCGGGTCCCGGGAGAGGGGATGTAGTGAATGCGGGTCCCCGGGGAGAGGAGATGTAGTGAATGCGGGGTCCGGGGAGAGCGGGATAATAGTGAATGCGGGGTCCGGGGAAGAGGGGAATGTAGTGAATGCGGGGTCCGGGGAGGGGAGAGCGGATTATAGTGAATGCGGGGGTCCGGGGAGAGCGGGATGTGTGGGTAGACAGTCACTGTCATGCGTTTGGCTCTTACTTGTACGTCAGCAGTTCTGAAGGACATATAGTGGCGGCTTTGTGCGTCTCGTCATCATTGTGACTCTGTCAGCACCTGAATCATGAGGGGAAAGTCCGTTTGCTTCTCAGCAGCTCGTACTGATGGGTTCTGTGGAATGAGAGGCTCATTACAATCACATTAGTTTATGCGTGCTTCTTCCTGAATCATTGGTTCCCAGCGCTAGGCAGCGGCCAATCCTTTCATTAGGCGGCTCAGCATGGCGGACAATAAAACGCGACGGCAGAGGGAAGATAAAAACAAATTAAGAGATATTTATTTCCCGCGGAGTGCGGCCAATACATGACATTGTATAATTTGTAGGGCTGAGCGCTCTTTACCAGCAAGCTGTGTGACATGAATAGGTTGGCGCTGTGTGCGTCTCACTCCCTTCTGCTGCACACATGACGAGTACAAGGAAGAACACTTTATAGGAAATGCGTTTAGAAGTTCATTCCAATCAAACCTGAACAGCTTGTAAGGAAGGAAGAGTCCAACGCCGAGCCGCCCCACCACTAGCGCTCCACCGCCAACGCTCCACCGCCAGCGCTCCACCGCCAACGCTCCACCGCCAACGCCCCACCGCCAACGCCCCAGCGCTCCAACACCCCACCTCTCCAACGCCCCACCCACCAGCACTCCAACGCCCCACCGCTCAACCGCCAAGACTCCACCGCCAACGCCAGTGCTCCACCTTCCCTAGGAGACCTCCACCCATCATGGAGTTTTACTTATCTTTTCCTGAATTCTTCATGCCGGTCACATGACACCGGGGTCCTCTCCTCCCCTTTTGTCTTCAGATTTGGGCAGTCCCAAAAAAAAAGTCACCCCGCCTGCACTGCTCTCTGAGATATCACCCCTGTGAGTGTCGGGGTCCGATGATGTCCCATCAGGAGGGGGGTCTATGATGCTCGGCACTCACAGTATGTCCTCAGTTTTCTGGGATGGAACACAATGGGCATCATTAAAGCGGAGCTCCACCCAAAAGGGGAAGTGCCGCTTTAAGAACTGCTCCCCATTACGGATTGGCACCTTTGGGGGGCAGGGGGGGAGGGTGGGTACCTGAATTTGACAGGTACCCACCTCCCACTTCCGGTCCAATCGCCGGTCCAATCGCCTAAGTGAAACGAAAAGTGTCCTCCCCCTCCCTGTAGTTTTGTGGGACATGTGACAGGTCCCAGAAGACTACGGGACCAATCAGGAAGCGCAGCGTTTCTCGCACATGCTCAGTGGGCACCCGGCTGTGAAGCCGCAAGCTGTCCCCACCAGGTGCCCACAAAATCTGAATAAATAAATATCCTAAATGTTGACAAAAGTCACTTTCACCCTTGAAAGTCCAAAAACATAAATAATGAATCCTCTTTAGTGTCGGTGAATCTTTTGAGTAATAATCCCAAAATATGATCCATTTTCGCCGTATATAAATCCAAGAAATGAAACAAAAGCTAGACAGTGTATTACCCTCAATAAATCAGTGATTGAAACATATATACATTGTGAAAAATTGTGAAAACACGTGAAATGGTGAGGCGCTCTTCAGGCCTATACAGGAAGTGACGAAACGCGTCAAGGGACGAGCCGTCGGACGTTGCAGATTCACTGACACTAAAGAGGATTCATGATTTACATTTCTGCCTGTTTGTCTGAGCTGCACTTGGGAAGCTGAAAACGTATATAAAACGTACTTAACACCGTCAGGAACAAAGAAAGAAAGAAAACAAACGACATACCTGAAAGGCTGACCTCAAACACATCCGCAGAAGTCAATATTATTATACAGGATTTATATGGTGCCGACAGTTCGCTCAGCGCTGTACATTACGGCGGGAGACAGTACAGTAACAATACAATACACGAGGGGTGCGAGGGCCCTGATCCTTGGAGCTTACAATCTAGGAGGGAGGGGCTAGTGGTACAAAAGGTAATAACTGTGGGGGATGGAGTGTTTGGAAGAGTGGAGGAGTTCAGTAATTAGCAGGGGGAGGATAGGCTTCCCTGAAGAGATGGGTTTTCAGAGATCACCTAAAGGAGAGGAGAGTAGGCGATAGTCTGATGGATTGGGGTAGGGAGTTCCAGAGGATGGGGGAAGCCCTGGAGAAGTCCTGGAGACGAGCATGGGAGGAGGAGACCAGGGAACTAGAGAGGAGTTATTTTGAGGATCGAAGAGTGCGTTTTGGGTGGTACTTGGATATTAGGTCAGTGATGTAGTTCGGGGCAGTGTTATGAATGGCTTTGTACGTCAGTGTTAGGAGTTTGAATTTTATGCGTTGGGCAATCGGAAGCCAGTGGAGGGATTGGCAGAGGGGGGTGGAGGACACTGAGTGGAGGCCAGTGGAGGGATTGGCAGAGGGGGGTGGAGGACACTGAATGGAGGCCAGTGGAGGGATTGGCAGAGGGGGGTGGAGGACACTGAATGGAGGCCAGTGGAGGGATTGGCAGAGAGGGGTGGAGGACACTGAATGGAGGCCAGTGGAGGGATTGGCAGAGAGGGGTGGAGCCAGTGGAGGGATTGGCAGAGGGGGGTGGAGGCCAGTGGAAGGATTGGCAGAGAGGGGTGGAGGACACTGAGTGGAGGCCAGTGGAGGGATTGGCAGAGGGGGGTGGAGGACACTGAATGGAGGCCAGTGGAGGGATTGGCAGAGGGGGGTGGAGGACACTGAATGGAGGCCAGTGGAGGGATTGGCAGAGAGGGGTGGAGGACACTGAATGGAGGCCAGTGGAGGGATTGGCAGAGGGGGATGGAGGACACTGAATGGAGGCCAGTGGAGGGATTGGCAGAGAGGGGTGGAGCCAGTGGAGGGATTGGCAGAGGGGGGTGGAGGCCAGTGGAAGGATTGGCAGAGAGGGGTGGAGGACACTGAGTGGAGGCCAGTGGAGGGATTGGCAGAGAGGGGTGGAGGACACTGAATGGAGGCCAGTGGAGGGATTGGCAAGGGGGATGGAGGACACTGAATGGAGGCCAGTGGAGGGATTGGCAGAGAGGGGTGGAGCCAGTGGAGGGATTGGCAGAGGGGGGGGAGGCCAGTGGAAGGATTGGCAGAGAGGGGTGGAGGACACTGAATGGAGGCCAGTGGAGGGATTGGCAGAGAGGGGTGGAGGACACTGAATGGAGGCCAGTGGAGGGATTGGCAGAGAGGGGTGGAGGACACTGAATGGAGGCCAGTGGAGGGATTGGCAGAGAGGGGTGGAGGACACTGAATGGAGGCCAGTGGAGGGATTGGCAGAGAGGGGTGGAGGACACTGAATGGAGGCCAGTGGAGGGATTGGCAGAGAGGGGGTGGAGGACACTGAGTGGAGGCCAGTGGAGGGATTGGCAGAGGGGGGTGGAGGACACTGAATGGAGGCCAGTGGAGGGATTGGCAGAGAGAGGTGGCAGATACAGAATGGTTAGTAAAGGTGGATGAGTCCCTGGCAGCAGCATTCATGATAGACTGGAGGGGGGATAGCCTGTGAGTTGCGGAGGGGGAGGGGGGGGGGGGGGGGGGGGGGGGGGGGGGGGGGGGGGGGGGGGGTGGGGGGGGGGGGGGGGGGGGGGGGGGTGGGAGGTGTTGGGGGGGGGGGGGGGGGGGGGGGGGGGGGGGTGGGTTGGGGGGGGGGGGGGGGTGGGGGGGGGGGGTGGGGGGGGGGGGGGTTGGGGGGGGGGGGGGGGGGGGGGGGGGGGGGGGAAGGGGGGGGGGGGGGGGGGGGGGGGGGGGGGGGGTCGGGGGTTGGGGGGGGGGGGGGGGGGGGGGGTCGGGGGGTGGTGCGGGGGGGGGGGGGGTTGGGGGGGGGGAGGGGGGGGGGGGGGGGGGTGGGGGGGGGGGGGGGGGGGGGAGGGGGGGGGGGGGGGGGGGGGGGGGGGGGGGGGGGGGGGGGGGGGGGGGGGGGGGGGGGGGGGGGGGGGGGGGGGGGGGGGGGGGGGGGGGGGGGGGGGGGGGGGGGGGGGGGGGGGGGGGGGGGGGGGGGGGGGGGGGGGGGGGGGGGGGGGGGGGGGGGGGGGGGGGGGGGGGGTGGGGGGGGGGGGGGGGGGGGGGGGGGGGGGGGGGGGGGGGGGGGGGGGGGGGGGGGGAGGGGGGGGGGGGGGGGGGGGGGGGGGGGGGGGGGGGGGGGGGGGGGGGGGGGGGGGGGGGGGGGGGGGGGGGGGGGGGGGGGGGGGGGGGTGGGGGGGGGGGGGGGGGGGGGGGGGGGGGGGGGGGGGGGGGGGGGGGTGGGGGGGGGGATGGGGGGGGGGGGGGGTGGGGGGCGGGGGGGGGGGGGGAGGGGGGGGGGGGGGGGGGGGGGTGGGGGGGGGGGTGTTTGGGGGGGGGGGGGGGGGGGGGGGGGGGGGGGGGGGGGGGGGGGGGGGGGGGGGGGGGGTTGGGGGGGGGGGGGGGGGGGGGGGGGTGGGGGGGGTGGGGTGGGGGGGGGGGGGGGGGGGGTTGGGGGGGGGGGGGGGGGGGGGGGGGGGGGGGGGGGGGGGGGGGGGGGGGGGAGGGGGGGGGGGGGGGGGGGGGGGGGGGGGGGGGGGGGGGGGGGGGAGGGGGGGGGGGGGGGGGGGGGTGGGGGGGGGGGGGGGGTTGGGGGGGGGGGGGGGGGGGGGGGGGGGGGGGGGGGGGGGGGGGGGGGGGGGGGGGGGGGGGGGATGGCACCGAGTACTCCGGCTACAGCTCAATAAACCATACAAAGTAAAGCACATTGCATCGGGGATCCCGAAACCCCTCCCCCATCCCTCACACGGGGGGGAACCTCCCATAATGAGACCCCCCACAATGGTACCTGGGGAGGTACCTAATATGCCCCGCTGTGTAACCACTGCACCCGCACCACCCCTAGAGACTTGTTGAGGGGTGTTTGTGGTGTTGGGGGAGGGGGGTTGGTCTCTAGGGGTGGTGCGGGTGCAGTGGTTTACACAGCGGGGCATATTAGGTACCTCCCCAGGTACATTGTGGGAGGTCTCATTATGGGAGGTTCCCCCCCGTGTGAGGGATGGGGGGGGGGGTTTTCGGGATCCCCGATGCAATGTGCTTTACTTTGTATGGTTTATTGACTTCTAATAAATGAGGTTTCTGAGGCCCTTCAGGTGTCTGTTGTCTGTTCTCTGCTTTGTTCTAGTAAGAGGTGGGTGTGGCCAATCAGTGGATTGCTGGAGGAAAGTCCTGGATTCTTATTGGATACACAGAATATAACTGGATATAACATTTATAGGGGAAGGGGATCCCGGGAATATCCGATTATTGATCCCGGGAATATCCGATTATTGATCCCGGGAATATCCGATTATTGATCCCGGGAATATCCGATTATTGATCCCGGGGAATATCCGATTATTGATCCCGGGAATATCCGCACATTGATCCCGGGAATATCCGCACATTGATCCCGGGAATATCCGATTATTGATCCCGGGAATATCCGATTATTGATCCCGGAATATCCGATTATTGATCCCGGGAATATCCGCACATTGATCCCGGGAATATCCGATTATTGATCCCGGGAATATCCGATTATTGATCCCGGGAATATCCGAATATTGATCCCGGGAATATTCAATCATTGATCCCGGGAATATCCGATTATTGATCCCGGGAATATCCGATTATTGATCCAGGGAATATCCGATTGCCTCTCGGGGGATCAGGAAGGAATGTTTCCCCTGCAGGAGGAGATTGGATCGTGCTTTGCTGTTTTTTTTGCCTTCCTCTGGATCCACTGTGGGTGGAGGATTATAACTTTGTTTTTTTTAATAGTTGAACTGGATGGACTTTTGTCTTTTTCAGCCAGACTAACTATGGATCTCTGTAACAATGTAACATCCTAGCAGGTACATCTGGAGGCACCGCACTCTACATTTCATTTGGCTGGACTCCCCGGCCTCTCTCTCCTCTCTGGTCTCCTCTGGTCTGTACTTACCGCAGTCCTCAGTGCAGTGACCCAGAGTAAGCACAATGCTGAACCTGTCCTCCGGCTCCAGACTTCTGAGGGTCAGCAGGGAGATCAGACTAGACACGATGCTGAACTTTGACAATCGATGAACAGCTCCGGCTACAGAAACAAGCCATAGTATTATTGCCAACAAAAAAAAAAAACAAATCACATTTAACAAACGGTGCACCCGGGGCGGACTGACCATTTGGAAACTCGGACACTGCCCGAGGGCCCCGGGTCAGTAGGGGGCCCCATGAGTTGTCAGTCCGCCCCGGGTGTACGGAATACATTCATTTACAATGTGCATTTCTCTGAGAAATAGAGCCGCTTCCAATATTCCAGCTGATTACAGAACCTTTTATATTTCCTGTCACAGAGCAGAACTCCGATTCTTGGGCTCAGGGCGAGTAGAAACCCAAAACAGGGGAGATATATACGGACCGGACTGTGCAGATATAGACGGACCGGACTGTGCAGATATATACGGACCGGACTGTGCGGAGATATAGACGGACCGGACTGTGCGGATATAGACGGACCGGACTGTGCGGATATAGACGGACCGGACTGTGCAGATATAGACGGACCGGACCGTGCAGATATATACGGACCGGACTCTGCAGATATATATACGGACCGGACTGTGCAGATATAGACGGACCGGACTGTGCAGATATACACGGACCGGACTGTGCAGATATACACGGACCGGACTGTGCAGATATAGACGGACCGGACTGTGCAGATATACACGGACCGGACTGTGCAGATATATACGGACCGTACTCTGCAGATATATACGGACCGGACTGTGCAGATATAGACGGACCGGACTGTGCAGATATATACGGACCGGACTGTGCAGATATAGACGGACCGGACCGTGCAGATATATACGGACCGGACCGTGCAGATATATACGGACCGGACTCTGCAGATATAGACGGACCGGACTGTGCAGATATAGACGGACCGGACTGTGCGGATATAGACGGACCGGACTGTGCAGATATATACGGACCGGACTGTGCAGATATATACGGACCGGACTGTGCAGATATACACGGACCGGACTGTGCGGATATAGACGGACCGGACTGTGCAGATATACACGGACCGGACCGTGCAGATATATACGGACCGGACCGTGCAGATATAGACGGACCGGACCGTACAGATATACACGGACCGGACTGTGCAGATATAGACGGACCGGACTGTGCAGATATACACGGACCGGACTGTGCAGATATACACGGACCGGACTGTGCAGATATAGACGGACCGGACTGTGCAGATATAGACGGACCGGACTGTACAGATATACACGGACCGGACTGTGCAGATATAGACGGACCGGACTGTGCAGATATAGACGGGACCGGACTGTTGCAGATATAGACGGACCGGACTGTGCAGATATAGACGGACCGGACCGTGCAGATATAGACGGACCGGACCGTGACAGATATACACGGACCGGACCGTGCAGATATAGACGGACCGGACCGTGCAGATATAGACGGACCGGACCGTGCAAATATAGACGGACCGGACCGTGCAGATATAGACGGACCGGACCGTGCAGATATAGACGGACCGGACCGGGCGGATATAGACGGACCGGACCGTGCGGATATAGACGGACCGGACCGTGCGGATATAGACGGACCGGGGGACCCACCGTGCGGATATACACGGACCGGACCGAGCGGATATACACGAACCGGACCGTGCGGATATACACGGACCGGACGGATATACACGGACCGGACCGATATACACGGACCGGACGGATATACACGGACCGGACCGTGCGGATATACACGGACCGGACCGTGCAGATATACACGGACCGGACCGTGCGGATATACACGGACCGGACCGTGCGGATATATACGGACCGGACAGATATATACGGACCGGACCGTGCAGATATATACGGGGGTCCGCACCCTGTAGATATATACGGACCGGACCGTGCAGATATACACGGACCGGACCGTGCGGATATAGACGGACCGGGACAGATATATACGGACCGCACCATGTAGATATATACGGACCGGACCGTGCGGATATACACGGACCGGACCGTGCGGATATACACGGACCGGACCGTGCGGATATATACGGACCGGACAGATATATACGGGACCGGACCGTGCAGATATATACGGACCGGACTGTGTATCTTCCCCCCACACCGTGTCTGGACAGGCTCTTGGGCACTGTTTTGCTGGCAATGAAAGCAATGTGAGAGGGACAGAGAAGGGTGAAGGGAGGGTGGAGTTCTGTAGTCCAGCAGGCAGAGCTGACACCGATGCTTGGGATGTGAGTGCATCAGGGCTCCGTGTTGTCAGCACACTGGGAGTCTAGCAGACCGGCAGGTAGGTCCCTGTACTAGGTATATGTAGGGGCGGACTGACAACTCATGGGGCCCCCGGAAAATAGGGGATCATGGGGCCCCTGTGTCCTTGCCCAAACTCAAAAAAGCCTATGAAAAAGGTACCAGGGGCATCTCATGGGGCCCCCTACTGACCCCGGGCCCTCGGGCAGTGCCCGAGTTTCCAAATGGTCAGTCTGCCCCTGGGTGTATATATTTCAGGAATTCATCCCCACTGAAGGCGACTCTGAAATCGCACAACTTCACTGCTGCAA